GACCAGAACAAGGATTCACACCTTTTAGGTTCTTCATTTTGTAGCCTTTGACAGAGATCTAAAACGTTTTCAAAATATTTGAGGAGGTGACCTCAGACGCCTGTGAAGACTGATACCGACACGTCATAGGCAGAGCACTGAACTCGATCCACACCAATCCATTTCTTGTAGAATTTCTGTTACGAGTCACTGACTCAGCTATCGACATTCCCCTGGCAAGACGCTACCCGAAGAGAGTTCTAGTTCTGGCTCAGAAACTCAGTCAGCTTGTTAATTGGACTATTTCCTGTTGTCCCATTAAAAAACGCAGTTTCAGACAAAGGACAGAGGCTCTGTTCACTAATTAGATCGTGGCTAATTTCAAGAACCTTACATATTCATACTGGCTTTTCAACAAGCTCCTCAACTCCATCTCTCCTACAGAACAGGGCTATCATTCTAAAGAAACCCGAGTTTCCCCTCGGACAAGGGGTATTTTTTTAGATGTGGTAATGGCCACCCACCGTAATTGATGGTAATTTACTTTTCATCGTCCATTGAGCCGATCCTCTGTATAAAAACCGAATTCCATTGAAATTGCATTTGGTAAAACCTGGCTAGAAATCCATAACGGCAGAAAAAAACATAGGTCTTTATAAAGGGCAACACTGTCATGCTACTACCTCCTTTTCAAAAAGAGAAGAGCGTCGGGTGCAGACCATACACCACAAGTGACGACGGCCTCCACAAAATGTTAATGTTTTCTGCCAATGAAATGATTAGCCTGTTGCAGTTGTATTCTATCAGTTGTCACTAATTACAACTATCATTTACCAAAATCAGCTATCACTATGAACCACACTAACCAGATTTACTTGGAGATTTACCGTCGCTTCTTGTGGTGTCTGATCTGCACCGCTTCTTCTTCTTGAAAGGGAGGGTATTCAATCATTTCGATTGCGCCGTTGCATCTACTCAACTCTCCATCGCATCCGAGAACGCCACGCCCCCTTTGCTGCCATTCTCGGGAAGTCACGCCCACTTTTCGATTGAAATCGATTGATTATCTGGTTCTGATTTCCGCACTTTCTAATAGGCGTTATGGATCTCTACGCTCATTCAATTGCACAATTAGTACAGGCTATAGAACTGTTCATTGGGACATGTGGCGATGGGCAATTACATCGCCGTGACATACACAGCAGATAGCGTGTAGGTTGGGAAGTTGAAGCAATTCGTATCATCAATTCAATATCACCA